TCTCTCTCTCTCTCTCTCTCTCTCTCTCTCTCTCTCTCTCTCTCTCTCTTCTCTCTCTCTCTCTACTCTACTCTACTCTCTCTCGGAATATGTCTGCGTGCATAGTCTCTCATCTCATCTCTCTCTCTTGTATATATATATATATTATATATATATATAATATATATATATATATATATATATATATATCGATCTCGGTCTCTTTTTCTTTATCTCTCTTGCAGAGTAGAGAAGAGAGAGAGCATAGTAGAGAGAGAGAGAGAGAGAGAGAGAGAGAGAGAGAGAGAGAAGAAGGAAGAGAGAGGAGAGAGAGAGAGAGAGGAGAGAGAAGAGAGAAAGAGAAAGAAAGAGAGACTAAGAGATGGAGATGGAGAGCTAAAGAAAATCTTATTCGAATGACAATACAATTTCAAAGTTAATTATAATGTAATATTTGTCATATATTTTTCCTTCGCACCTCCGTGTCTCCATGTCGATAGAAAGATATATATATATATATACACTGATGCTGTGTAATTCTGGTGATCCGATGAGAGGAATTTCAGTATTGAAGAGCAGAACAAATACTTTCATTTTTACCGAAAGTGACATTACCGTTCTTACAATCCATCTGCGTTAGGGACTTTTTTCAACATTTTCTTAACCAAAGTTCAGAGAATGTCTCAAAGATAAAAAAGGTAAAAGAAAAATGAAGAATGAAAAGATGAAGAAAAAAAACAACTAAAAAAGTGATTATGTCGGAAATATAAAGCAAACTGAATTTCTCAAATTGTCTTTTGCATATTTCTGTGCAATTTATTCCGGAGTTTTATTTATCTATTTTTTTCTACCTCATGTAGATTATGAGAGCGCTTCTTCTACACTCCGTGTCATTGTATTTCCTTCCCATCACAATAGAGAGAAGACCGCCCTTTCGTCCAGAGCGAATAAGGGCGCATTTGCCTCGCCGCGCCCCTTCCTTCAGATCGGCCGGCCTCAATTCCAGTTCCAAAATGAAATTGCCACAGCTCGTGCGGATGGTCGTAGAGCCCGTCGTAATTTTACCATTAAGCTGAATATATTAGTTTTCTTGCCATGGCCTGCACGGGTCACGTAACAGGCCCTGATGTGTACGAGCAGGTTTCAGCGTTTCGTCGGGGTGATTCGCGTCCGTTGGTAAAGGCCTTCCCGCACGCCCTCCGGATGGCCCTGGAGCCGCGTCGGCCTCTTGGCGTGAAGCGCCTGCGGAAGGGATTCGCGGAGGAAGGGAGGAACTTGGTCGAACTGCCGAACTTTTTGAATGTTCTAAGGATTCGGGGAATGTAAGAGAGGAAAAAAAAACAGGTGCCTGGGGAAGGGTTGTGAAATACTTTGGCGTTTGTTTTGAATTCGACGAGTCTGATCCCTGACGTCACTTTATTGTCAACACAATTATCACCAGCCTTAATGCAGCAATTCATTATTTAACCTCTAATTATTGGTGCGATGCCCCTCTTTCTCTTAATGAAGAAATGATAAGGGCATCACGTCACGCAGGCCCTTTGAGCCGGAGCCGCGCTCACTTCCCCCAAGGGCCTCGCAACAGGGCAAGGGCGGGACCCCCAACAGCCCCGCAAAAGCATCTCATAAAATTGGCCCCAAGTGCCTAGCGCGCGGCAGTGAGCACGTGGTCCTGCCCGGGATTGTTAATGTAGCAGCTGATCGCCAAGAAGATGGTGGTTACTTCAGCGTGGAGAATGGCGATGTTGATGCCCAAGATCCCCGGGTGCTTTACGACGCTTTACGTTCGCGTGCCTGGATTCATGGCCGCAAGCAGATGATTCATGGCGGTGCATGACGCGTCGGGAGGTACTGTTGCGGCGCTAGTCATGCCTGAAGCGTTCCCTAATGAGGCTGTCTAGCGTAAGCAAATTATTAGGCTCGCGAATGATGGGTGGCGGGGAAGGATTAATGCTGGCGACGAAAAAAAAAAAAAAAATCTGGCAAAAGCCGAGGGTAGTTAGTCATGCGACTCCGTCAAGTGTGTGGTTCTCGTCGAGATTTAGCTGCTCGCATATTCTGTCGTGGTAACGCAGACACGCGGAGAAAATGTGACTGTGCCGCTGAGAACGCCGATCTGTCTTGCTCCCGGCCGGAAGTCAGTGCCATTAGCCAGTCATTTGTCAGGCGTGAATGAGGGCCGAACGCGAAGCCGATGGGGAGCGCAAGAAATATAATCAGCGCCTCTTTATTCGTCGTTTTTCCCTTCCTTCGTTACGCAGAATGCATTTTAAGCAGACGCGCCACACGGGATGCCGGTCCCTCCCTCTCTGCCGTCCCTCCCTAGTCCACTGTTTCTTTTCTCCAAGTTATCCTAGACGGCCCTAGTCTTCCTAACGACCGACAGACTCAACAATAGCTTAACTCCCCGTCGTCAAGTACCACGACGGTTCCCTTAAACAAGCAGTTGATAGTTTACTTCTGTGCTAACGTGTAGAATTAACTTGTAACAGGAGCCGAGTCTCGGCTTTAGGGATGAACA